AGAAGGAATTGACTATGATGAGACGTTTGCACCAGTAGCTAGGCTAGAGGCTATTAGGATTTTAATTGCTTATGCTGCTCACATGAATTTTAAGCTGTTTCAGATGGATGTAAAGACTGCCTTCCTCAATGGATATTTAAAGGAAGAAGTATATGTGGAGCAGCCACCTGGTTTTGAAGATGCACTGTTCCCCCAACATGTGTACAAGTTGGACAAAGCATTATATGGGTTGAAACAAGCTCCGAGGGCTTGGTATGAAAGATTGTCCAATTTCTTGATGGCAAATGATTACAAGAGGGGAACAGTAGACAAGACCCTGTTCATAAGAACCAGGGGGAAACACTTGATTGTAGTACAAATTTATGTTGATGATATTTTATTTGGTGCTACTAATCAGGTTTTATGTGATGAATTTGCTAATCTTATGCAGAGTGAATTTGAAATGAGCATGATGGGAGAACTAGGATTCTTCCTAGGGCTGCAGATTAAGCAAATGGATGATGGAATAATGATCCATCAACAAAAGTACTTAAAAGAGTTGCTGAAAAAATTCGGCATGGAGAACAGCAAAGCTTATGATACACCTGTTCCCCCATCTACAAAATTAGATGCTGATCTTAAGGGAAAAGATGTTGAAGCTTCTCTTTATAGAGGAATGATAGGTTCTCTACTTTACCTAACAGCTAGTAGACCTGACATTGTGTTTTCTGTTGGTTTGTGTGCTAGGTTTCAAAGCAATCCAAAGGAATCTCACTTGAAGGCTGTTAGAAGGATACTTAGGTATCTTGTAGGAACAGCAAATCTGGGATTGTGGTACCCCAAAGGCAGTACCATTGATCTTATTGGATACACAGATGCAGATTATGCTGGTTTCTTAGTTGATAGAAAGAGCACATCAGGTATGGCACACTTTCTTGGCTCTTGTCTAATTTCATGGGGTTCTAAAAAGCAAAATTCAGTGGCCCTATCCACAGCAGAGTCTGAATATATAGCTGCAGCTTCATGCTGTTCCCAGCTACTGTGGATAAGGAACCAGCTGAAAGATTTTGGTGTTATTTATAAAAGTGTTCCTATTTTCTGTGATAACACTAGTGCAATCAATATTTCAAAGAATCCTGTGCAACACTCCAAGACAAAACACATTGAAATAAGACACCATTTTTTAAGAGACAATGTGGAAAAAGGATTGGTGGAGATGTTGTTTTGTAAAAGTGAAGATCAAATTGCTGATATCTTCACAAAGCCTTTGTGTAGAGAGTCTTTTTGTAGGTTAAGAGTCCTTTTAGGTCTGGTTAGATTTTAGGTATTGGCTTCAATTACTTCCTTCAATGATTGGTTAGAATGGTATTCTCTTGTATAGTGTGTGTACATACTTATGTTGATATCTTTCAAGTGTTGTGTAGATGGTTCAAAATCTCAAAAGGATTGAGAATCATTGTTGTAAGAAACAGGTGAAATCAGGCTGAATTGCCAGAAACAGCGTGACATGGTTCTATACAGGTACCAGCAAAGGGAAACAGCAGACCAGCTCTGATATGTCATCCGATAATATCTTTTATTTTCGGAAGATTACTATAAGATATTTCCTTTTGGAAGGAATTTATCTTATTTCAGTTATTTAATCCCATATAAAAGGCAAACATATCATATGCCTTATTTATAGTTGGTTGAGATAATTATGGTAAAAGATAATTACCAAATTTTTGATTTCAATTTAAAAATATCCTTTACAGTTGCTTTTTATTGGCTCAACTAACCCTTTTCTTTCCTTCTTCTCTCTTTGTGTTTCATTGTTAAAAATATACACTAACCCTTTGTGCAGATCATCAATCATCATCACTCGAAATTCTCTTTCTCTCTCTCGTATGCTTTAAATTCATCATTGTTCATTCGGTTACTGTTCACTCAAGGAACCAGCTCAGTCTCAGGGGGAACATCAGAAGGAAGCATAAATGTCCTTAAGCCCGAAGTTGGAGGAAATTCAGAAAAGTCAGAGTGAAAAGGATGAAATAGAGGTTGTTGGTTATTATGAGGAGACACCCACTGCTAAGACCATGGTACGAAGTAGAATAACTCAATTAAAGAAGTTCACTGAGAAGGTGCAGGAGGAACAGTCCATTGACGCTGTTCCAGGAACCAAGAGAAAAAGGGTACCAGCAAGAACCTCTTTGCTTGATTGATGTGATGCTAGTTTTGCACTCGTTATGCAACAAGGAGAACAGTTTTGCACTTGTTATGCAACAAGGAGAACATTCTGAATCAGTACATATCTCTCATGTTTTATAAAAAAAAAAAAAAAAAAAAAAAAAAAATAGAGGAACCAGCAGGTCAGGAAGTGGTTTTGAAACAGATTGGGGAATCACAAGAATATGCTTAGCAATATAATGATTTTGGTTTAAGCAGAGCATGGTGACAAGGATGAAGAGGAATCAGATGATAATACAGAAGATGTTGCAAAGTTCGAGGAGGAGGAAGGGAACGAGAATGATGATGAGGAGTGATGCTGTTTCTGTTCTTGTTTCCTCACCCTCATGTTTATTCTAAAATAACTGATTTTGTTGGTCTGTCTACTTCTCTCCATTCCATGAACTTTCTTTTTGGATGGATTTGGGCTTCTTTGGTTGAACTTTGTTGGCTTGTATGAACTACTAACTCTGCTATGGTATGAACTGTTTGACTAATCTCTTTTTGCAGCATAATGCTTGAATGGTGGTTGATGCCATTGTATGGATAAGCACATTAACTTGTGCACATTGCTTTTACTTGTGGATACTTTTTAATGATGCCAAAAGGGGGAAGTAGTCTGAAGTTGAAGCCTAAGGTTTAGCTAGTTTAGATTGAGTCAGTTTGAGTCTTTTTATTTCGCACTTTCTATTTTCTGTTTAGGGAACCAGTTGGCCTAACTGACTTGTTCCAAAGAGTCTTGAGTCCTTGAAGTTTTTGACGGTTTTCCTTTTGAGCACGTCCACAGGTTCAGGAACTTCAAAAGTTTGTCATCATCAAAAAGGGGGAATTTGTTGAGTCCCTTAGGTTTTGATTGATAGTTTTGAATGATGACAAACAGCTAAGGGAAACAGGTCCTTGAAAGTGCTCGATACAGTTGGGGGAACCAGCTAACATAGAACACTGTTTCCCCAGACAAGTTATTACTTACATGAGTTTTCTTATTGAACTAACTTGTCTTTATACAGGGAACAGTTATATGATAAAAGTGTTATGTACTGGTAGGGAACCAGTATGTAATGTTTCCATGGTTGCTACGTGGTAAAGCAGTCACATACTCTTTATTGTGCATTAACCATGTTACATGTGCAGTAGTTGAGTTGATTCCAAGACTTGGAGCATAGAAGCCTTTCGAAGATATTTCGAAGAAAGATTGTTTGCTCATAATAGAAGTATTCAAGGAAGATTCAAGTCTTGAAGATTACATGAAGAAAAGACGATTTATGCTTTAATATGTTATCTAGGTTTTCATGTAATATGCTCCGTAGTATGCTTGCATGTTTGGGTTATATAAGTGCTTAAAAATATATTGAAGTATGATATGAAATCTGGTACAAAGTTGGAACAGGTTTCATAACATGTTTCAATTCAGGGAACCAGGTCGGGGAACCAGGTTCACTGTATTCGAGCTGCCGTTTTGGAAAAAGATTTTACAAAAAGATTTTTTCGAAAAGATTATCTTGAAAATATTTTGTGCAGCTGGAAATAAGATGAAATATTCTTGGTTACCTAAAATCTAGGAGTATTTATCTTAATTGATTCTATCTTTGTGATTAAATCAAATAAGATAAAAACTTTCCTAAAATTACATTATATCTTATTCTCTAAGATTGTGTGATTTAAGGAAACTAGGTTTTAGGAATCTAAGCTTATATAAACTCATCTTATTTCACATATTTCGTGTGCCTCTCCAGAAATTAAAAGAGCAATTATTTGAGAGCATATACTTAAGCACTAATCCCATTCATCAAGTCATATACAAGAGCATTCTAGTACTTAAACGTTTTCTCTTAATTAGCTTCGTAGAAGTGAGATCAAAGGGGAGTTCTTGATTCTTGAATTGAGTCTTTAACAAAGGGGTTAAAGGCTGGGTGAGTGTTTGTGAGTTCAAACACAATTGGGCTTACGAGTGTAAGTCGAGAGCACACTCGGAGTAGAGTGTGGGGTTTGCTGGTTCCCGGAGTAGGGAAACAGCAGAGTGTTCTTTGTCTTTGTTTTTCGGAGTAGATTAATAAAGAACTTAGGATAGGAGGACGTAGGCCTGAGTTGGCTGAACCTCGTTAAATTTGTTGTGTTCTTTATTGCTTTGTTTCGTTAAAATTGTTGTCTTCTTTATTGCTTATTTATATTCCGCTGCGTACGGGAACCAGCACAACTGGTTCCTCACACATAATCCGAAAAGAAGCAAAATTAGCCAACGATTACTTAACACTCAATTCACCCCCCCCCCCTCTTGAGTGCCCATTGAACCTTCAGTGTTTCTATGAGATCACGTGACTACACGTGCAAAGTCAATACCGGAAAACCAAGTCAAACACCGGAAAGCGGGTTAAGGTGTTATTTCGCAAGAAAAACAAGTGATTTCAGGTGTGCTTTCACAAGAAATTTTATAAAGTGTTTTTTCAAGTAAAAAGGTGTTCTAAAATGTGGTTTTCTTAAAAATTTTCCTTGTTTTATTAAAGTACTCTGTAATTATGCATTTTGACTAATGTAAAAGTGAAATAAAGGTATTCTAAAACAATAGGAGTAATGGAGTAAAACATACGTAATAGTGGTAGTACTAGTCTAAATAATTAATTTAAGACTCCTTGTAATTGTTGATTTAAGACTTCTGGTAATTATTAAGACTATAAAGATTGATTTATTGTATTAGACTCCCAATGGTCAAAAAAAATGGCCATACATACTAGCGTAAATTGTGGGGATTATGGTTACTATATATATATACACACACTACTTATTAGTCTGTTATAAGAAAATAACAAAAAAAAAACACAATGTATAATAACGCCTTTAGCATCATCAAACTTCTGTCTGCAATCAGTCTAGGATATATGTTCTTATGCTCTGAAGCAGAAGCATATCATCCAGGACAAACAGAAGCCGAGGCGCTTATTATATGGAAACAAAGCTTCCAAAACCAATCAGCCTTTACTTCTTGGGTCTTACCACAAAAACAAAGTTATTCTTCCTCCATCAATAGCCCATGTCGTTGGCAAGGAATCGCTTGCGACAACCATGGAAGAGTCACCAACATTACCCTGCCTCAGTTAGAATTGCAAGGTACACTTGATGCCTTAGATTTCTCTTCATTCCCACATTTAAGTTACCTTGACCTCAGTCAGAACTATATCAGTGGCATAATACCTTCTAGTTTAGGCATGATTTCTAAACTTAAATACCTTGATCTCTCAGTTAATATGCTGAATGATACCTTACCTCTTTCCCTTGCCAACCTGACATTAGTTGAGCAGCTTTGCTTGTCTCGAAACAATCTTACTGGCCGAATAGACCCGAGTTTGTTCCCAAGTGCAACAAAGCATGCAAATTCTGGTCTGATTAGTATTGAAGTCATAATCATTGGAAGGAATTTTTTAGATTGTCCAATTCCCTCTACCATAGGTAACTGCAAGAACCTTTCTTTCATTGCTCTTGACAATAATCGATTTTCAGGTCCTATACCGGAGTCAGTGGGCAACTTGAGTGAGCTAAATACCCTATTTTTGTACCAAAATTATTTAACCGGACCAATACCAACCTCTGTTGGTAGACTCAGCAAGTTAACTGACCTTCGCTTGTTTGATAACCAATTGTCTGGTCGCGTACCTCAAGAGATCGGAAACCTATCCATCACCAACCTGCAGTTGTCTAGGAACAGTTTTACAGGATTAATACCCCCACAATTGTGTAAGGGCGGTAACCTTGTCTACTTTTCAGCTTCTAGCAACAATTTTGCAGGCCCAATACCAGTAAGCCTAAAAAATTGTCCCAAATTGAATAGAGTTTACCTCAAAAACAACCAACTTACTGGTGACCTTGATCAGGCCTTAGGAGTGTATCCTAGCTTGGTTTACATCGACTTAAGCTTCAATCGTCTAGGAGGTGAACTCTCACCAGAGTTGGGTAAGTCTGAAAACTTAACTGCTCTACTGATAGCTGGTAACTCGATTAGTGGTGAAATACCAAAAGAAATTTTCAGTTTGCCAAATTTACAAAAATTAGACCTCTCATCTAATAGGTTACAAGGAAACATACCCCCAGAAATTGGACAAAGCTCAAAATTGTTCCAATTATCCTTTCAGAATAATATGCTCTCAGGTCGAGTGCCTGTGCAGGTAGGAGCCCTACAAGAACTGAACCAAATGGACCTCTCGAACAACAGTCTAACCGGGCAAATCCCATCTGAAATTGGGAGTTGCTCAAATCTGATGAGCTTGAACTTGAGCAACAACCATCTGAATGGCTCAATTCCAGATGAGATCGGGCAGCTAACTCAGCTGCAGATGTTATTGGATTTGAGTTATAATTTTTTAACCGCGGACATACCACTGAATCTAGGAAAGCTACAACGCCTTGAAACATTGAACCTTTCACATAACCATCTAAAAGGCATTATCCCTACATCTATAGCCACCATTGCGAGCTTAGTAAGTGTTAGATTTCTCGTATAATGAACTAGAGGGTCCATTACCTGACAGTAATATCTTCTCTTCATTTCCTTTGAGATCATTTTCTGGCAATAAAGACCTGTGTGGTAAAATACGGGGCATGAAATTAAACCTTGCAATGTTATGTCTCCAACAAGAAAGAAACAAAGCCATGTCATAAGACTCGCAATTGTTGCTTTTGCAAGCATACTGTCTATTCTTCTTGTTGTTGCCTGCAGCATATTACTCTGTAGAAACCGCAGACTCGCAAAATGCAAACAGCAGGATGTGAGTGACAAGTGCAAAGACGTATTCACTGTACTGAACTTTGATGGCAACCTAGTCTACAATGACATAGTTGAAGCCACAGAGGACTTCAACAGTTTGTACTGCATTGGAACTGGAGCAACTGGGAATGTGTATAAAGCAGAGATTCCAAGTGGTCAAGTGTTAGCGGTCAAAAAGCTCAACGCCAGCACCTTAGAGAAAGCAGCGGTAGCAGCAAGGAGTTTCGTGGATGAGGTGACAGCCCTGATAGAGATTCGGCATAGGAATATTGTGAGATTTTATGGGTTTTGTCTGCAAGAGAGCATCATATTCTTGGTATACAAGTTTATCGAAAGAGGAAGCTTGGCTGATGATTTAGGCAGTGTCGATGGAGCAAAGGAGCTGGACTGGAACAAGCAGATCAGAATCATCAAGGGAGTCGCTGATGCCTTGGCATACATGCACCACGGCTGCACACCACCTGTTGTCCATCGCGACATTTCAAGTAAAAATGTTTTATTGTGCTCTGAACTGAAAGCTCATGTCTCAGACTTTGGCACCGCAAAGTTCCTGAATCCAGATTCTTCTAACTGGACTACACTTGCTGGAACATATGGCTACCTTGCCCCAGGTATGAAAGTTTGATATATGATAGAGTATATAAACCGATCCTGGGCTTCAACCATGATAGATAGTAGATTAAATTGATGGTTGAAGCCCAAGATCGGTTTATATACTCTGTCCGTTTAAAAAGATAATATAAGCACATTAAGTCCAGATTATTAAGCATGTTGTTGTGTTGCAGAGCTAGCTTTCACCATGGTCGTAACAGAAAAATGTGATGTGTATAGCTTTGGCGTTCTTGCACTTGAAGTTCTTATGGGAGCACACCCACAAGATCAGATTTTGAGCCTATCAGCAAGCATGTCAGATGACCAACTGAAAGTAAAATCCGAAGATGTCTTAGACCGTCATCTTGAATATCCTACAGGCCAAGAGCTTATACAGCAGCTGGAATTTGTGTTACAGATAGCAACTTTATGCCTCAACATTAATCCACAATCAAGGCCAACCATGAATTACATCTCTCAGATGTTCGAAACGAAATGTGGAAATGATAATCCCATAGCCATTGACTTGTAGAGCTTTAATATACAAATTGAATTCTAATTCAACTTTGCTATCAAACATCAATACTATGAGATTTAGAGAATAAATAACCTTACTATGTACCAAAGCAAATTCTCAAGAATAACTGGCTTAGTAGAATTTATAGAAGTAATTTTAGTCAAAAAATGAATATTAAAGTGTAACTATTATTTCGAACCCCAGTTAGAAAATATTTGTTTAGTCCCAACTTTTTAGATGATTTTTTTTTTCCTTTTTTTTTTTTTATATTAAAAGTATTCCATTGATTCAAAGTCATACGATATTTACCATAAGAACCGGTTCGTTGATTAACTTTGACTGGTAAACTTACCAAGGCAAAGTATATTCAAAAGTTTGTATAACACGTAGTAAACGGAAATTTCCAACAAATTGTTCAATAACTAAAAAAAAAAAGGTGATTCTTGATGTGTTTGATACTTTGATAAGTTTGATTTATGGAGGCAGAATTATTAGTAGTACTACAGGGAAAATCCTTGACACATGTCTGTTACTCGCGTTTTGTAAACAAGGATGAAACGATCATAAGTCAATTGCTGAATCAGTTAGAAGTTGCAGAATGGTAGTAAAGTCATCGGGTCATTTAGCAGTATGACAGCAGCAATGCTTGTGATCGGTACTCTGACAGTCTGACAGCATTCAGAACACTTGCAAGCATAGTTGATGTTAAAAACAGAACTGATGTCGCACCCAATACTCCCAATTGAAATTAAATCGCACCCCAGACAAGGACCATTCAATATGTTCTTTTTCCGCCCTTGAAATATCTTGCTTCTTCTTCTATCTATTGGAAACTACTACCCACAAGAAGGCCTCTAATGTCGTAAGCATAAATGAAAAATAATGAAACCATGACTTGCTGCTCGAGCACCACATGGAATGACACTCTTCCTAACAACTTCACAAACACTAGCTCTGAAAAAGCAGATTTAAGTCCATGGAGAGCAGATCCCAAGATATCGAACATGAATCCCATGGTGTATTGGGTTTCACTAACATTACCATTTAAATTTGAGTTTGTATGTAATGCAACAACGTTAAAGTAGATCGTGTTAAATGATCAACTTAACCAAAAGTTTTAGCTGAGGGTTGAAGCTGGTCCTTTAACAAGGTATCAGAGCTCAAGTTGTGTTTAGTTGTGAATTGCGCTATATTATGAACAGCTCACATGTGAGGGAAAATGTTGAACTCATGAACAAACTCACGGGGTGAAAGTGTTGTCCCACATTGATAAAACAAGAAAGTTGTGTACACTTTATAAGGCTAAGAGACTTAAGCAGGGTGTTGTCCTACATTGAAGAAACAAGAAAATTGTGTCCACTTTATAAAATTAAGAGACTACTCTCTTTATTGCTATATGGTTTTGAGGGAAACCTCCTTAGTCGGGTTGCGGCCAGGTCCGTTTCTCAAATCACCCCCACTAAGAAGTAGAAGAATTCAATATGTGTAAGGCTCCGTTGTATTAACTTAGAAATGTTGTCCTTTATTGTATTGAATGAGTTTTAAACTGTCTCGTTCCATACCTTACTTTAGAGTGAAAGCTCATCCCTTAATTCTTCATCGACACTTAATATGTAAAGATGTTTTTTTTCTTTTTTTTTTTTTTTTTTTTTTTTTGAAAGAAGGTAAAGTTAAGCACAGCAAATATGGGGCATAGGGAAAAGGGCACACAAATTCTGACATTTAAATAAACATGATTATGGAATGCGTTTGATAGAGGCATAACTATTGTGATACAACAGAATTATGCAAGCATATACAACCTAATTACATTTTTCATAAGGCGTGAAAAAAGATCTAAATTGCAATTGTGCAATAAAGGAGCCAAATTTATGACATAGGAAGCTCCAATGGGAGTTTGCTCATTTGCTGTGAAGATTGGTGATTGTGAAGTATGGTGATAATGTAGATCATTAAACTTCTGAGATTAAATCTCAGACCAGAATAGCTTTATCAACATAAAAGGCACCGGAAACATCGTTTATCATCAACATGTCTATGAAATAATCATAGACCAGTTGCAGCATCGTCCATTGGAGTTGCAGGATTATCTTTCTTAGGAGGTCTACTCCCATAAATATAAGAGCAAAATCCCCAGAAAGTAACAACCAAAGAAAGTATTTTGAAACCACTCATCGGGTCACTTAGCAGTATGACTGCTGCAATGCTTGTGAGCGGCACTCTGACAGCATTCAGAACCCCTGCAAGCATAGTTGATGCTAAAAACAGCACTGCTGTGGCACCCAACACTCCTAATTGAAATGTTATCGCACCCCAAACAAGAACCATGCAGTATGAACTTTTTCCACCCTTGAAGTTTCTGGCCTCTTCTTCCATTCCTTGGAAACTCCTATCCACAACAAGACCTATTGCTGTAAATATAAATGCAAATAAAGAAACCATGACCTGCTGCTCAAGCACCACATGGAACGAGATTCTTCCCAATAGCTTCACAAACAACAACTCAGAAAGCGCGAATATGAGTCCATGGAGAGCAGATCCCAATATATCCCATATAAATCCCATAGTGTACTGGGTTTTACTCACATTACCGTATAAATCTGAGTCTGAATCTAATGCAATAATGGTCAAAGCAGCAGTAATCATGACAACAGAATTTATAATCGAAGCATTTACCCTGTTTCCAACAAGAAGATAACCAAATAATGCAGAAAAGATGAGAGATGAAGATGCCAGAAGAGAAGCAGTTGATGCTGGAAGGTAGGCATATGCATATGCATACAAGAGGTTATCAGCCGCGCTTAAGAAAGCCACAACTGCATAACAAAGAGTGAGTTTCAAGTTCAAACGCGTAGGAAATGTGTTGCAAAAGAAGTAGGTAGGAATTAAGGCGAAAACAGTTAATGGCCATCCTGCAACTGCTACCCATGATATGATCCATTTGCTTTTACCCCCGTTGGAATAATAGAGACGCGACAAAAGACTAGAAGCAGGGAATGCAATAAGCATGGCTCCCCCACTTAGAAGTATAAGAATCCAATATGACAAGGGTTTTCCTATGTATAACTCCCAAAGTATCTTCTTTAAGTTAGAAATGTGATGCCTTAGTGTATTGGATGAGGTCGAGTTTGACTCCATTGGTCTATCCCCTAATATGGAGACCCTTAGTGAATCTTCGTGTGTAGCTAATGCTTCCTGGTTTGTCATTTGATCACAAGGATGTCTTCTGCATAACATCAATAATTAAGTATAATTGCGAATACTGAAACTATTTCATAAACTAAATACTTACAAAAGTAACAAGAAAACAAACAAATTCTATAACGAATCAATATTACCCCATCAGTCGTGGTTTCAAGATGTTCATGTTTCAACCAATCATAAACGCAAAGCATGCTATATTGCCTATATACGTTATTAAGATTATACAAGCTGCAACAAAACTCAGATCTTTGGATTATCTTATAACTTCTAGCTACATATTTCAGCAATGCATGAATGCATGATTCATGCTCACAAAACACTAAATAAAATATACTAATTACAAATAATTGGTCATTATTCATGACTAGACACTTAATAATGGCATGACAAAAATCTTTAGTTATGAGTTTTTATATCCTTCTATATTTTTCATACAATAGTAAAGATCAGAAACAACTTTTTTCTTTTCCTCCTCTCACTTTACATTTGTAACTATCAAAATGAACTTATCTACTCAGTTGATTAAAAGGGGTTAAAACCTCACCAGTCCCCGCCATGAACACGAATGAAACCCGTCAATTCACTACCTTCACTTCTTTGCCAACAAAATGCCCCTTCAATTAAAGCACCATCTCCAATTCTTTTTCTCGAGTTTACATCTTAAAAAAAGGTCATCTAAGTTAGCCAAAACGATTTTAAAGACATCTTAAGGTTCCCCTCATACACACACAAGTACACAACCATTGATTATATGACTAGATCACAGAGTATGTAAAAGAAAGCCATTAAGCATGAAAAGTCTCATGAAGATCGCGCTTCCCCCATTTCCAAAATTGGAAACTACAAAATCTCAATGAAACTTGGTGGGAAATAAGCTTTTCATGAATCTTTAGATTGTCACCAAACCCTTTTTTTTTTGCCTCAAAAATGTGATAATGGTAAATTATAAAACAAAAGATCAAGAATAGTTAAGCATTAATAATGTAACTTGTATAAATTTAAAAAGAAATGTATCTCATGTTATATGCAGCTCTAAAAGTATACTTCCTCCGTTTTCTTTTACTTGGAACACTTGCTTAAAAAGGAAATATCACAACTCACTCACTCATCCTATTTTAAAGTTTATTATGTCATGTAAACCCCACCTTTCTTAATTACCGCGTTAAAGGGTGTGTTGTATCTGAAAGAAAATGGAGGAAGTATATCATAACCAAAAAAAAAAGAAACAGAGATTTTTGAAAGGCATGAATTGAAACTCACAAGACAATACTACACATACATTCATTCACATAAAACAAATTAAATTGTCAATAAAAAAAAAAAAAAAAAAAAAAAAAAAAAAAAAAAAAAAAACCAAATTAAATTGTACATATCTAATAAAACTTAAATGCAAAATTTCTTTTCATGGTTTCTACATTTAATTCCGGTCCCCCAGAAATGACCCAATATTATACGGAGTATTGAAATTTCGAGGAATAAAACCTAATTAGATTCCTTAGACAACAAAGAACAAGTCTAAAAACAAGCTCAAAGCACAATAAAAAAATTAATAATTCACTTTTAAAAAACAATAAATTTGTTCAATATTACAGTAGAGAATTAAGTAGAATTTACCCAGATTATGAAATTGCAGCATCAATTTGCAGAAGATCCTAGAAGTCAGCACTCAGCAGTCAGCAGAGAAGAGAGAGAGATTGTGGCAAGTATTATTGGTATGGGTGTACCGTACGAGGTTTTTTTTATTATTTTTTGAGGGCATTATTACGAAGTTCATATTTAACTGCTTTGAAAAATAAAAAATAAATAAATAAAATAAAATTTGATGTTTATGTTTTAACAGAAATAAGGAAAATTTGTTAATTACTACCTCAAAAAAGGGGTCTTTATGAATTACTACTCCTAAAAAAAAAAGTTGTTAATTACTACCTTAAAAACGATGAATTCTATAGATTGCTACCCTTTTCCCTAATCAGCCCCTAATTAGGTGATTTAATCTACTAATGATATCATTATCCGACTAATTTGTAATTAGTTACTTTTAAGGCATGATTAATTAAATAAACCCTAACACCACCTCTAAACCACCATTGCACCGCCTCCGACAGCCCCCTTACTCTATCCCCACCATCTCTGGCAGCCTACCCCCGCCCCGCCCACCTCTAAACCACCCATTGCACCACCTCTAAACCCACCAACAATCCCTCCTCCCCACCCACCGGCGACCCTAGCCCCCTCCCCCTTGCCAGAGAACCCAATTAGGCCCTCCCTAAGCCTCCTCCATCCCCTTCCCCCCTTTAATCACCACCCTAATGTTTCAAAATTAAAACCCTAAAGCCCTAAAATTGAAACCCTAGGGTGGTGATTAGGGGGGAAGGGGATAAAGGAAGATTAGGGATGGTTGTGCAAGGTTTTCCGGCGAGGGGTAGGGGGTCAAGGCCGCCACGTTAGGGGATGGGGGTATCGTAAATGGAAGGTGGTTTTAGGGTGGGCAGATGGTGGTTTTAGGGTGGGGAGTTGGAGGAGGTAGGTTCGGTAGTGGGTGGTGGGTGGCCGGAGGTGGTGCAATGGTGGTATGGAGGTGGTTCTAGGGTTTAATTAATTATTTAAGGTTTAAAAACAACTAATTACAAATTAGCCGGATAATGATATCATTAATAGATTAATCACCTAATTAGGGGCTGATTAGGGAAAAGGGTAGCAATCTATAGAATTCACCAGTTTTAGAGTAGTAATTAACAACTTTTTTTTAGGGGTAGTAATTCACAAATACCCCTTTTTTGAGGTAGTAATTAACAAATTTTCCCATAAATTATTGCCTTTTTACTCAACTCACCATGTTTTTCTTGCTGTAAAGTTATTTTTAATCCGACAACCCATATAAAAATATGAGACATCTTTTAATACTTATTTCATACTTCGTATATGTCACGTAGTGTTTTATTTGATCATTTTTGCTTCATACTCATAATAATCGCAACACTGTTAATACACAATTATGATCATTATAATATTTGTAGTTATATACTCCCTCTTTTTTTTTATATATGCATCACTTTGATAATTGCACTATTCACATACCATGGTTGACTTAATTTTTTCACCTCTAAAAAATGAATAAATGTTATTATATTATATATCATTAAATTCGTCATAATGTCTAGTTTCATTATATAATTTTGTTAGAATTTTTACTAATACACAATTAAAGATATTTATGGTCAAATAGCGTCTCGACAACTGTGTCGGTCAAACTGATGCATATAAAGAAAACAAAGGGACTATTTCTTAGCATTTAGAAGTATAAAAGGTTATAATTGTTTTAAAAAAAAAGTATAAAAGGTTATAATGAATATACTAAGGGTCTGTTCATATTTATAGAACTGAGCTGAACTAAACAAATTGGAGTTGAACTTAACTGAACTGAACTGATTGGAGGTGAACTGAACTGAATAGAGCTAAAATGAATATTTATGAGAGAAGAAAATTAGGAGCTAAACTTAACGAAACTGTATTGATTGGAGCTAAGCTAAACTAATAGAAGCTGAATTGAACTAACAGACCCGTTATATGAAACGGAGGGAATATTGTTTCTTTATATAATCATTTTTCTACGAGAAAGTGTTATTTTAGAATATTAGTATGGCGTAGTTTAGATGAACGGACCGTCAGACCCGACTTAACATACAAAGTTACTACAAGTATTATTGTGAAACTGAAACTCTCTTTTGTACAAGTCAAAGACAAATCCCTTTTTAATAAAATTGCAAGTAGCTTTGCTTGAAAATTATGTGGGGTAGTAGGAGATTGGAGGTAGAATGTCCTTTCTAAATAATTCTAATCCTTTGCTCTGTTGGAGAAGTAGTGTCCTTACAAATCTAAGCCTTATTAGCCACAATTTCAATACCTCGTATTGATTATTAGATAGATTTGTGAACTTGTTGTGTTTTCCTTTTTCGCCTATATACTAAAATTTTATCAATGAAATAGCCTTTGCTAACACTCAATTATGGATGAAAATGAGACAAATGAGTGTAACCAAAAATGATATTTTCGCAACCTATTCGAAATGACTTGCAAATTATTAAAAAAATAAAAAACTGAACAACTAATTTGAGACGGTTAGAGTATTTATTTTTAGTGCATTTTTACTAGAAGACCAGGCATATCTTGAATTCTTGATATATAATCATATTAAAAAATGGTTTGTAGAAATTGCATGGATAATGACTTCTTTATCTGAAAGATTATGCAACAGTTATATACTGAAGCTTTCATGTGGCATATTTCTGTACTATGATAATATAACAGCGCTTCAGTATGTATGCATGGACCTCGAAGACTTTGCACATGAAATAAAACCTGTAATACAAATACAAGTCCTTTGGGCTGATCTCAGACTTCAATCCAATCAATACTTCAATCAAAATACATGCATGCATGATAATCCAAGTCCCGGTGTGGTGCAGTTTGATGATTTACGTCAGTTACATGAGTTTATCTGCCTTATGTGCCAAGTCATTCAACGGGTTATCAATTGCATGAAGGGATAACCAAATATAATAACTAGTGGTTACATTTACATCCGCCTGCTGGTGTGTAAGATCAAAATTGAACATCATAATTCCTTCATCAGTAACATGTACTCGATTAAAAAGATCACCAATCAGAAATCATAATGCATTACTGGAGGGAAAAACCTATTTACTAGCTAGTCATAATTATCAATGAAGTCGTACGCTGTATCTTGTGTTACACAGGTTTAAAAAAAAACCAGCTAAAGAGAAGCAGGAAAATATAAAAATGTCGGCAAATATCTAAGTGTCTCATCTCTCCTGAGAAAATTCTAGAAAGCATGAAACTTGCATATTACCGTCAATTCAGCTTTTGATGTAAAAGGAACTCACAAAAATAATTCCCCTCCGACCTACCCTATTTGGCATATTGGCTTCTTACCCATCTAACAATAACTTCAACAATCATCCACAATAAGCTATGAAGTATAAAACTTACAGATGTCCTAATGATTCAAGTTTAAGTATATAGCAGTCACTGCAATCAGAATCGTCTAATGTCTTTAGGTGGCTTGAAGTTGAGAGGATGGGTTTCAGGGGTAGCAGTCTCATCCTCTTTCCACATTTTGATAGTCTTGTCAGCTTCACAAGTTACCATCCTTGAACCAGTGAGATCATAGGAGAGTGCATAGATACCAGCCTCGCTGTCCAGTGAACCTGCAGCAGCAGAAACACATGCTTAGATCTTATTCCTTAATTTACGAGCTCAGTACCACAACAAAAGGCAAATACAGATACTATAACATACCAGGTTGCACAATAGTTTGAGCTTGCTGAAAGTTATGACCACTTGTCCAGTCCCAAAACCAAAGGCTACCATTATCACCTAAAATAAAACAAAAAAACGTAGCAGTTAATATAAAAATGAGTTATTTGCAAATGATCTCATGCAACAGAAACAATTAAGCAATCAGAGCAAAAGGACAAAGAGCCAATTACGTTCTTAAAATACACAGTATTCTCACATGTTCCAATTCACAAATAATTATTCAACTCACAAATCTTTTATGAATTCAAGTTTTATGGTCCCTTGTGATAATTCTTTAAGGTTCATAGTATCCTAATTGTAGTACTGCGACTACTGCCTCTGTTCCTTTTTACGAGTACAAGGCATGCTGAACACTTTTGTGCATATTAAAATTTCAGATCATTTTTTGTTAAAATTGCATTGGTACTGTATGTTGAGATACAAACATTGTATTCATGATAATATATAACATTTAATCTTCTGTTGATATAATGTAGAACATTTAATGTTACATTGGTACAATAGAGTCAGGGTTGAAACATAAAATTTGGCTAAAAATCCTTATCATCTAGAGAAGGGATTGGTTATTTATAACCACAAGCCCAAAGGACGAAGTGTAAGCATTAAATACATTGACCAAAATGGCCCTCCCTCCTTTTTCCCGTACTCAATTTACCCTTTCATCTAAATTCTTAGTTCTATTCACTATTACTTTATTTCTTTTTTGGCAACCTTCTATGAACTTTTTATCATTTCCTGCCTCACCTTGCGTAAACCCTTTTCTTTAATTTAAATCGATCCCTCATTATCTCTCTCTCTAGTCCCAAAAAGTGATACACACTTAGGTTGTCCCTTTTTAGAGGCTTTAGTTACTAAGTAACTCAAAAGTCAAAACTCAAGGGACTATCATGTTGGAATTTAATGACAAAATCACATGCTTCTACATATTTATATGTTTACACTTTTCACTTCACAAAATACTAGAACATTGTCCTAAGGGATATGTTTAACATGTCCCAAAAAAAATAAACTAAGGGAAAAGCTTTTATATTTTAACACCCAAAGATTGTAAACCTTATGGGTTTGCATTTCCCGAAAAACAGTAGTTCTTGAAGAACTCGAAATTATTTCCACACATAAACACATAAACTCGTAAACATAATTACATAATTATGTAGCCTACAACCTCATGTAATGCATTCCTTTACTTTTGAATCATGAAAGTGATCCTATGCTTTATAAACCATACAATACAGACATCACAGAGGATTTAAAGCAGAGAGACAATATTAACTCAATTAATGATCATCATATCTGATCAAACACATGGCTAAGGATCAATCAGGGAAATTTGAAGCAATTTTTTAACAAACAAAGTGAAAAACAAACCTGCTGTAGCCAAGACTCCTTCCTCGTTGACAGCCATTGCATTGATAATTGTTTTTTGCTGAGACCTGTCCAAAAGAGATGGAAAAATACAAAACGTATTATTAGATGACAGACTTCTCACATATACAGCCACCCAATTACCAAATTCTGGCCAAATTGATTACAGCCATACACTTTATGCCAAGTTTGAAATGACAAGATAGGGACAATACAAATATCATAATTTCAGGGTATGCATTCTAGAAGTTCCAGGACTTACAGCATGTTATGCATAAACTCTCCTTTTGGGAGGGTAAACTTCTTTATGTTGTCAGCAGAGGCAGATGCAAACATATTCCTGCAATGCCATAGAGCATGGCAAGGTTAAAGAAGTAAACAAAAAACAGAAAATCATGATCAATTATCCACGAGATAATGAAGACCCAAGTATTACAGCAAAAAGAAATTGATACTTTAAGAGGGTAGTAATAATGAAACAAATATTAGCAACGCACTCTTTAGGATGCAACGCCATTGCTCGTACAGACTTCTTATGATGCGTGAGTGTTGTCATTGTTTTTCCTGCATGTCTCAAGTCCCAAAATTTTATGGTTGAATCATGTGAACCCGTCACCACTTGAGGATCCTAGCAAAAAGAACTTCTAAATAAGATTCAAATAGCAATATAAGCCTTAAAAAATCTGAAGGGAATATAACAACAAAAGGGGGAAAATTACACTATGTTTGGATGACGGATGACCATGGTGAAGGGAAAGGGAGGGGAGGAAAAAGAGGGAAGAGAAAGGGAGGGGAGGAAAAGAGGGAAGAGAAAGGGAGGTGAGAGGAGGGAAGGGAGAGAGTGACCTTTCATTTTCCTTCCAATCTCCAATAATGGAAGGATTTGGTTTAGGAAAATGGATCCCTCCATTTTCTTTCCCTTCCTTTTCCTATGCCAGTAGGGGAATAGCTTAAACTTAAGTTTTGTCTGTTAACTAAATCCCAGTTAAAAGATCAACAGTGAGCAAAATAATTTAAAATAAAATGAGTCAAGGATCTGGTAAAAATTTGATAGGTTGCCAATTATTGGCTAACAGCCTAACTTATCGCAATTGTCAGGCTAAGTTTGATGAATTGTGAAATGTAGAGTTTCAGGGTTTTGGACATTCCTGGAGTTGAGTATTCTTTTGTCGGACTAAGTTACCAAAAAAAAAAAAAAAATGCTATTACCTGCATTGTTGCTCACTTGTTCCAAAGTATCACTACCTAGATTATACTATTAAAAAAAATAATAAAATAATAAAAAAAAATTAATTCTACTAGTATTTGACTGTAAGGGTGGATTAAGCATTTTAGAGACTTTCATGATACGGGACTTCCTTCACGTCCCCATAAACTCAACATTGTCCACAAAACCTAAGTCATCAATAATAAAGCCATAGCACATTTTTCTAACTGTAAAGTCCAACTTGTAGAACTCGTAGTGTGATAGTGATATACCTAAACTTCGCCAGAAACCTCAAGAATCAAAATAGTAATAAACAGGCGGGATGTCTTGCCAGGAACATTACTACCAATGAGAACACTTGATATGGATTTCACTCATTTTCAGTCACAGCTAAAAGACCCAGGAAGATGAAGCACACGGAGTTTACATATATCAGAAGCCAGAAAGCTGTGCTTACAGATTCCTTATCTCATTTTGCTTTTCTAGTTATTCTGCCCCCTGTCCTCTTCTGAACCTCTCTCAAACACTTGCATCATGTCCACTGTTGCATAAGAAGGAAATAACCCAAACTCACACATTGAAGGCGCTAGGACAGTGAAACCAGGGTTTTTTCCATACAGGTTTACACGGAGGGTCAGGGCATAGAGACAAGGAAAGTGATAAAACTACCAATTCAGGCAGATTTGTTAGCAAGGAAAGAAGTCAAATGGTATCAGAGACGTAGGATATTGCTACTCCCACTGTCCCTCGGGAGAGGAAAAAAAAATTCACTGTCTCATTAGACCTTCCACATTTGATTTCTTTATTACGTAGTAAAATAACAATTAATAACTAGAACGCTTATCACCTAAAACTATCTTCCATGTTAAATGTTAAAACCAATATGGGAGTATTGGGATAGAGTATATCAGAACAGTGTGCCTAAGGTGCAAGACAGCTTAAACAAAAATGTACAAAGTACAGCCTTTTCATCTGAAATGGAGAGACGAGTGAACCACTATTCATTCAAAGAAGCTAACATACCGTTGGTCGAGTGAACACAGAACAGACAGTGTTTTCATGCCCTGACAAAGCAAAGATTTGTGTTTTGCTACGAATGTCCCAAACCTGAAAATTAGAAGGAATAAAAATCATTCAAACATATAACTTTGGAGCATTATCCACAATCATAGCTTAGAAAGTTGCATTACAAAAAACACAAAAACAAATTTGAAAAAAAAAAAAAGAGAGAGAGAGAGACATACACGGCAAACTGAATCACGGCCTCCGGTAAGCAATACATCAAGAGTGGGATGAAGAGCCAAGCAGTAAACTCCACTTAAGTGGCCATGATAAGAGCGAATGACCTGAACAATATAGCATTAGCAAGGTACAATTGCCAGAAAACAAGGGTATGATAATTTTTAAGAGATATCTTCTTTTCTCAATTGTAGGGTTTAGACAGCAGCCACAGCACAATTCCTATCCAACAGGCAACACCATCCTATGTACAGTAAATTAAGTTTAATATCCTCGTAGAAAGTTTATAGGTAGCATGAATAAAAGGTCCATCTGTTTAGCATCTATGCATAACAGCCTATTTTCCTTCAAAAATGACATACACAACACATAGTGTCCACAATAAAGAGTTAAGAAATCTAATCGCTGAGTACTAATGCATCTAAAAGGGTTTTTTTTTACAAGATATTTCCAGCATTTGGTCTTTTACAAGATAGAAGGTGACCTTACTCGGGGGCACCTTAATATAACAGAAACTCATATGTAGCAAGTAGATTCCTGCTCTAATAAATTCATTACTCTCAAAACTAGGCGGTTTTTTTTAAAAAAAAAATTATTACTATTATAAAAAGAATCAGATAGGTTTCATCAGTGATAAGTAACATAACAGTAGATGATGTAAATTTAACATCAAACTAGAAAAAAGAAGGGGGAAACCCATGAAAACAAGAAATCAAGTTAATATACAGCATATAGAGGCTAAACCAGATCCAACTATTGGATCAGATATCAGCTTTACCTTATTCTGCTCGAGATCCCAGCACTTCACCATTTTATCATCACCAGCAGAGAACATATAGGTATGCCTCTGGCTAACAGCAAGCCCTGGAAGAAAACGTATATAACTAAATGTATTAATTATATGACAGACATTAAATGCTGTAGCAGTTCAATTCTACCATCCTATGATACTAACCTCTGACTTGTTCAATATGTCCAGTAAGAGTAAGTTTCAATCGCCCACTTGCTACGTCCCAAATCTAAATCAATAAAGAAAGATTGTCAGCAATGACCTTATACTTTAGTTTACAAATGAATGCTCACAATTCTACCATCAATTGCCATCTATCACAGTTTTCAATAAGTTTGACCATCCTTTCAATTTTGAGACACAGTATAACTATCCATATAAGATTATAAGATAATTTTGGTATCAAAGACATAAATGCTGTTTGAGACTTATTTCTTGGGTCAAGCCTTCTTCGGATGTCAAGGGTGTTAAGACCACTCACAGTAATTCAGAACCAGCCAAGCCCTCTTGGAGACTAGTCCACCCGACAGACACATACACGCATCAATTCAATATATAATTCAACTGTTTTTATTGTAACACAAACTGCTATCTGGTGTACAGAGTACTTAATCCTGACAGTTTGCATATAAGTATTTTAGTAGGAAGGAGCAGCTTGCACATTTTACTCATTATATTCAGACATTTAGTACAATTGAATAAAAGCTTGTACCCCATATTATGATGTGTAATACACTAATATATATAAGTTTTCATTGCTTTACTAAAGGCATTTTGTTACATCACAGTAATCATACAGAATGTAATGTTGGGGTGCGTACTTCCTGTGTGTGGGTGTGTGCGTGTGGCGTGTGTGTATGCTCCTAGTTTGAGGTGACAAATCACTTAATTGCAAAAGAAAATATTTAACAGAAAAGTTAAAAATAAAAGTGCATTGACATTACTAATCAATAATAGAACAGCAACAGCTTTTATGCAATCAAATCTTAGTTCGCTTGAAACTATTAATCCTGTTTAATGTATGTTAGAGTAGATCTAAACCAGCATAGTCCAATTTTTCACTTCTAAGGGTCTACAGAGTACACCTTGCACTGCTCATTCAGCACCCATTTACAAAATTGAATTTGACAGCCTACAATGGAAATAGCCAAACCACAATCCTCACAATTTCTTTACAAATAATTTTCTTTAATAGAATGGACCAACTCTTATCTTTCAGATTTAACCACCCCATCAGATTACAACTTGTGACAATATTTGTTTAGTAATGATACATGGCTTCAGAATTGCTATTTTCTGCCGAGTTTCTCAGACAACATAAAGTTTTTGACAGAAGAAAATTTACTAACCTTAATAGTACGATCAGCTGAACCGGTGCAAAACCAACTGTTACTTGGATCAAAGGCAACCGATCTCACCCATCCCAAGTGGCCACTAATCACCTGCACAGATGAGAAGAGAATATGTTATTAGTTGCTACAAAAAATAACATCGAAAGCTGAATTGTACTATTACACCTTGATAATGAGCCACTAATTTAGACAATTATGCAAGATGAATAATACCCAACCTAGTAGAGGTTTTTTTTTTTAAAACTCAGAATTACTCATGTACTCATGTTTGAAGTCCTAGAGGAGTAACAAGTGAGGATTCGAAATTTAAGACATTGGAGCCCAATTACATGTATGGGCTTGACATAACTAACTAATCAAACACCCCCACCCTTGCCATGTAGTAAAACACTACTCCCTCCGTCTCTTAATACAAAGCCTCATTTCCTTTTTGGGTAAACCAAAATACAATGCCTCTTTCTATTTAAAGGTTGTATTTTTTGACATTATTACCCTTTTTTAATGAGTTGTCATCTTTTTTCCATTACTTTTTTGTACATTTAACATCAATTTCCAATACTTTCTCTCTCTATCTCTTCAATTATTTCCACCTACTTTTTCTCTCTCTATCTCTCTCTAACCCCACATGCATATATGTACTTGTAATCATTAGTTTTGAAAAATTTACAACTTTCTTAATTCCCGCGCAAAAACCAAAAGGGCTTTGTATTAAGGGACGGAGGGAGTAAGAAATAAAATACATATACGGAATACCAAAGCTCAACCCTTCTCTTCCCTACTTGACCACATCATTTCCCCTCACTAGTCAACCAATGCCCTCTCTCCCAAGACCACTTCCATAGGCCCATTACCAACTTCTCAAAAACTGTAGGGCCTCCCCCTCCCTTCCCAAAACCCCCACCACGGCACCACCACACCTCCTTATCCAACCTAACCACTATTAACCTCACCACACCACTCTTCCTTTCTACTAGGAGTTATCTCCCCATCCATCTTCCTAAGCCATGCATGCCTCCGTCACATTGTCCCTTCATAACTTATGTAAAGAGAGAAATGAATAGATAAAGGCCAAAATCTGGGGCATTTTAATGGTTGGATTTGATCAACAAGGATCCAAGTCTGACCTCCAATAATTTAAGACTAATTAGGCATTTCTTCATGGTGAAGGGTGGACAAAATATAGAGCAGAAAGTGGGTGACTTTAAACTAAAAAGTTAGTTACCGCTTAAAAAGCACTTCTGTGCATCTGCTCTGCCTTAGATTTCTTTATACATGTGGTTGATGGAGGAAAATATAGGGAGCTTGTTCATAAGTATAACCATTGACAACCTTTTAACCCACTTCTTTTGTCACCACCAACCAGCACTATCGTCGCCAGTTGTCCTTTTCTCCATAGTTACTTATTCAACAAACCATCATCTGTACCACTCTTTACCCTACTACAATATACCCTACTATGTGATACTAATTTCAGTACTTTCCCCTTCCCTTCAGCCCATCCTCACTTCTTATATGGTTCCCCATGAATTCGAAAGAAAGTGTGCCCTCTCCTTTGCAATATATACAAGACCCTTGTGAACTGGTCACAGAACCCCCCCCCCCCTTCTCTCTTTTACATTGTACTTTCTAAGTCTTGACTTACAATCCTCTATTTAATGTAAAAGGCAATTCTGGTTGTAACCTTTATATAAAAAATCTTCTATGACAAAAAAGTTGTCTCTTGCTTCATGCGGATGCGCATGTGCCCCCCTTAAATTATACCTTGCACTTTCTTAAACACATGTATGACAGATCATAATCAAATTAACAGCATGAATCTATGTGCAAGAAATCAGAAAATACTAGTATCAGGTATTTATAGCTCCAAATTCTGCACTAGTGTTTTTTTGTTCTGTATTGTTCTTTTAAACAGGCAAAGGAATTAAAAGCAGAGAAGTAAACACGTGAACGAAAGATGCAAATAAAACCGTTCTTACATCAATTTGAACAAATGCAATCAGATCAAGAAAATGATTAAATTAATAAATCCAATATATGAACAAGGCAAAGCTCTTTCTACCAAAAAAAAAAAAAAAAAAAGGAACAAGGCAAAGCTAAACAGACCTTGCTCATTGTGACTGCAATTGAAATCAACTTGTGAAACTTACAGCATAATGCAAATCTAGATAAAAGAGAACAAAAAATAAATTTTTTCTCACCCTGTAGTTCTTCCATGGAGCACGCCACTTAGGCCTTGGCCATCTACTTGGAATTCTCTCCATAAGCGCAGACGTTGAAAACCTTAAATTGCCACACACAAGGTAAAATCCAAAATAGGTAAGCAGAGAAATTATCTAAAAAGACCTGCATTGAGAATCAATTACGAAACAATTCCCCCCTCCATTATGTGCAATTTATATTTGCATTAACCAGCCAAGAAATGTCAAGGTTGACTGGGTTATAACTTATAAGGTCCAGTTACACACAAGTATTTGTCCCTATTAAGTCTGTCACATTAAGTACTTCATTAACTAAAGATTATGCATCGAGTTGTACATGTAGCACTTGTACAATAGTCAAAATTCAATTAACCATGATTACTGGTTAACATGAATAAATTTTAAAGTAAACAGACCATTTTAGCCTTTCCCAAATAGACTCCTCACTTCCTTTTTGGTATACAACAAATATTAGTCATTCCTCAGCATGTTAATAGTCTTCCGATTTTTCCATTATGGCCTATCCAAAATAGACTCCCTAATCCCCACTTCCTCTTTGGTATGGGCAGTTATAAAATAAAGGAAAATATCCTGACCCCTCAGATTTGGCATAATTCTAACGATTTCTCTTTTGTTTAATATTTTCTCAAATACCTTTTAAGATTTTTTGAATATTTTTTTTTAAATATAGCTTTTTTTTATATTTTTTAAACTGACGTTAACTTTTTTCTGAATACTATTTTAATATCTAGTTTCCTTCTTCCTCCTCCATCAAACCTTATTCTCTTTCTCCTCATTAGAACATTGCTTCTTCTGGGTCTTTAATGGATTCAACTCTTCCCCACCCCCTAGACAAATAAAATTCATAATCTGCTTCTCGATCCTCCTCATTCTTATTATCCTATTATGATTCGAAACTCACAAATTTATATACAAATTTAACAGATGATATAATTAAAAATATCATCATCATCCATGGTTGACATTTGAACTCTCAACTTCCCTAATTCTTCCTATAATATTAGTCAAATACTCAAATTTTTCTCATCTTTCATTATCATCATCATCACCTATAGCCTTTGCAAAGTAATGAGTGTCGCATGTCATTTCTGTGAAAACAAAGGAGAGAGACTGAGAGAAGAAGGTTTGATGGAGGAAGAGCAAAGGAAAATGAATTTCCACGAACTTTTATATAACATAAAAATATACACCGCTCACTTTCCATCCATAGTAAGAGTATTCTGATCAATGCGTCAAACCCCCAAGCTTGAAGGGTACCTCAGGGGATATCCCTAAAATGAATATGCCCTTACCTCGGAGAATTATGACGAAGGGTACCTCAGGAGATATCCCTAAAATAAATAGGTCCTTACCTACTTATATTTTCAAAAGAAAACAGTACTATTGTTGAAAGCTGAGAAACTAATATACATGCAAACGAGGACAAAGGATGATGCTTGAAATCCCTGCTGTCTTAGCCCATAATGTCACCAAATAGGATCCAACCAGGCACACCTGTGTCGGTATCCCATGAATATGAACCATTTTATCTAGAGTGGGTATAGCCAAGAATCCCTTGTGAATGCACCCAATTTATGGCAGCCCATTTATGCTCCTGATGACTTAATGCCAAGGGAGTTAAGGGACATGAAATCACACAAAAACACCACAACTAAACCCAAAGCATACCGCATAGTCATTTTCCTACCTCCAAACTCAAATGATGATCTTTCCTATAGCTGATAGAGCTTAACCACAAAACTTTCCATCACCAAGCAGGAGCCGGAGAGATAATAAATAGATATATTGGACATGAATGAATCAAAGTTATCTTCCCACCAAGAGTAAAGAAAACCTTAATTTGCCAATCAAATCTCCTAGATATCTTGAATAAACCTTTCTTTCACACCCCACAATTTCTCTTTCCTTAATCCCACTATATTCTCACCTAATTTCTCTTCCCTAAAATTAAAAAATATTTCCCTACTAACTCATTCATTATCAAGACTCTAAATTTTAATGACCCATACAAGAAATATTTTAAACCTATATGCTCAAAATGGATAGAATATTGAGAGATGGAAAGTGTAGAAATTGATTAAAAATAACCACTATAACCAAATCTGTTGTCATGCAACATCTTACAATAGCTGAAGGTTTAAGTTTCACAGTCCGAGTGTGGATTCTAACCCTAAGGCTACAAAGACCACATCCTCAAATTCAAACTTTGAACTATACGCAAAGCCAAACAGCAAAAAATCAGTAATAAAAAGTAATTAAACTAACATAGACTCGGAGAAAGAAGATAGATAACATATAAAACAACATAGAAAAAGGTGAGTTACGTACCTTTCAGAAGAACTGGGAGTCGAGATAAGTGCATTGCTTTTACTAGGACCAACTTCAGTCCTGGAAACAAGAAAATGAAGCCAAACACAATATACATCAGAACTATAACAAGACTGACAACTATGAAGTAGATGAAAACATTGCAATTCCAATCTTTCTAATTCAGATAACAACACCTAGAGGTTATCTTATTATAGTTTTATGATACTTAGAATTGAATCAACAATCCGCCACTCAAAATACTGCAGCTAAAAAGTTTGCTTTGAGGTCTATGACACCAAAATGGATTTGCCAACACTTACAATTCCAACCCAACAATTAATTTCAAAGAAAACCAATAAGAGAACATACTGTCTCGACTGAGCAGCTGGAGCTACTACTAGAGCATTATGAGCACCTCCTCTTTGTCCATCTTCCGGAGCTAATTAACCATAAAAACAAGTCAACAGGGTACTCATATACAAATCAAAAAACTTCAAAAAATAGATAAATAAATCACCAAAATAATACAAGTACATTTTATGGCACATAAATTACCAGGAAGAGCAAGGGGATCAGATGGAGCAGACGACTTCTGCTTAGCAGGCTGAGGCTGAGCTAATGTAGGTTTAATTCCTCCATATTCTAAACTAATCTACAAACATTTTCAAAAATCACCCATAATCAGAATCAACATAATTACCAAAACCCACAAATTAAAATTAAAAATAAAGCAAATTTAAGCGAGCAATGATTGACTAACCTTATGGCTCAACCGCATTTTTTTACTGCAATTGAAGAGCAATATACAAAATCAAAAATCAATTTTTTTTTTCCCCAAAAAAATTAGGGTATTGAGCAAGAAGAAAAGGCTAACCTTTCAGAATCGGGAGGAGGGAATTGAGAATGAAGAGGAGCGAAGACATCAAGAGCGCGTTTAAGGGATTTGAAAGTGAGCTTCTTCAATGACTGTCGTTCGACTGGTTCCATGGATGCCATTACACCCGGCATTAATGGCGGAATTGGAAAGCAAATCAGGAGAATTAGGGTTGGAATTGTAGGAGATGATGATAATGGGGGATAGGATGAGGGGGTAGCAGCAGTAGCAGTAGCAGTAGCAGTAGCAGCAACGAGTGTTGGGAATGCAGCGTCGGTGGCGCGCGAAAGGGGTTGCGCTGGCGGAGGTGGTAAGGGAAACAGGTCGAGGCAGTGAGAATGAGGTGAGGACACTGCACCAATTGTACATCCGATTAACAGTCGGATTTCAATGGGGCGGGGCGGATGTTGGGCTTCCCATCCCATCCCCATCCCCACCTAACATTTTCATCCCTTTTCCTATTTCCGCGACGGGTCTAAAATTCATCCACATCTCCGCCCCGGCGGGTACAACTCCAAAACCATCCCCGCCCCACCCCCCACTTAGATATCCACCCCCACCTAATCCCCACCAAAGACCATTCTTTAATACGGATTACAATCTAAAAAAACCATTCTTAATATTACACACACTTTTGTTATAATATAAGTGTTGGACAAAGTATTATAATTAATATTTAATTTCACGTAATTAATTTAAAATATAGTATAAAAATATATAATTTTGTTTTTAAAGTTATATAGATGTGGGTATGAGGTGGGGATGGGGTGGGTACGAAGTGGGGCGAGTGGGGTGGGGTGGGGCGGGTATAACTTAAAATCCACCCCCACCCCATCACCCATTGTGAGTATGGTTTTTATCCCCATCCCCACCCCACCTCCCGCCTAACCGAGACCCATCCCCGCTCCATTGGGGCGGGGATGGGGCGGGTCTCCTACTTGACCCGCCCCACTGACATCATCCCTAAGTATGGTATTACGGAGTACGAATTACTAGTATCAGGAAATGATTTTGGCACACTTGTAGGGAATAATTTCAAGCCTTTAATCCCACTAGCTTGAACCCCACTGTGATCATACACTAAAGTACGGTGGCGTCCAAAAGGGAAGAAGATAGAGCAAAAGAGTCGCCAACAAGTTTTAGGAACTTGTAAACCGTTCACGAGGTGAAGGTTACACCCCTTAACGATCCAAGAGATCGTCAACTCCATAAGGTCTAGAACCAAATAAGGGTTCGGGGATGAAGGTACAAATCCAACCTAAAAGAGATTGAACCTGCCCTAATAATTGGCCTCTACTTTATTCTGATCGTATTCATGTGCGCTTTCTAATTAACATGCAATCAATAGGATTAACCCTAAACCTGTTTATCTATGTTGGTTGAATATTAATGCACAAACAAACCTATTATTGGCAATCACTTGAATTATAATCACATTAACCCTAAACAAGATTATTAATTATCTTATTAAGCGTGATTACAAGTACCAAATTCCCTTTAAACATGCATAAAAGGTGTGATCAAGCAATATAAATAATATCAAGCAACATAATAATCAAAGTATAAAATATAATCATGATCATAAAATTATAACAATGAAATAATCATCATAATAACAATCATATTAACCATAATAATAATCATGTTAATATTAAAGCATAATAATAGCAAGATCCTAGGCAAGATACTAACAAGATTAATAATAAACCCTAGCATGTCACTAAACAATAAAAATCAAATCTTTAACCCTAACATGATACTAACAATCATAAATATTAGGAAGAACATAAGAAGCATCGTAACAATCATATTTAATATTAAAATTACCCTAGACATGATACTAGGAATATCATAATAACAATATAAACATGATGTCTACATCATAACATCAATAAAAACCATTAAAGTACTTACTTTGATGCCTCGTACCTCTTTCTAATAACAAAATACACACGTTAGTAATTTCAAGGAAAATAATAAATCAAACAATTAAATTAAATAATTGAAAGAGAGATTTGGGACCAAACCCTCAGAAATTAAACCTTTCACGTCTAGGGCGAAGGCAACTTCGAATATGGCTAGGTGTTTCTAGATCTTGTGAATGCGGAATTTTGTATGAAAAAACAAAGTTAGAAGAAAAAGAAAGATGAATGAATTAAGAGAGAGATGATGAATGAGAGAATTAGAAAACTGATTGTAGATGAATATTCGTGAGAATTGGTGTCAATTAGTGAATTGGTTCATGAAAACGGAGTTTTTAATACGATATTTATAGAGAAAATCAGCCAAAAAGATAAATTAAACAAAATAGAGTCTGACGCACAGAAAACAGAGCTGGCGCCACCCTTGGCTAACTGGCGCCAGGCGCCAAGGCCTGGGGTCAGACGCCAAGCTTAAATTTAATGCGTTTTCGAAAATTAGATAAGTTTGCCGTATTGGAGGATAAAATCATATAATTTCCTTGAAAATGCTATTTGATTTTAATTAAAACTCTGAAAAGTCAAAAGTCAACTTACTAATGGTAATTGAATTAGGAATGAAAAAGAACTTTCTAGAAGATTCTAGAAGACCAAAACCATTCCTAATTGCATTAGGAATGATAAATCATATTAGGCCCTCCCCTAGATCATTGGGCCGTATATAAAGCTCAAACCGGGCCTAGTTTGGTAAATTGGCCATAACTTCCTCAATATTCATCGGAATTGGGCTTATAATATATCGTTGGAAAGGTCTTTGCAAGACCCATCCAACTACACTACAATTGGACCCATATCATGGACCAACCAAACTGGATTGGCTGTTTTCTTAAAAATAAGTTTTCAAAAACAGAGAGAAGAGAAAAGAACTTAAAACTTTCCGCAACACTAGACTTTCCACACTTTCGCTTCATTCGATTATGGTTCGACGTGAAAGGTACTCATCACTGGGTTTGGTTTTGGGGAGACACAAATGGGTGTCTACAGAAGCCCCCACTTTGACTGAGTTTGGAGAAACGCGAGTTTCGAAAACAAAAGTCAAAGTATCGATAGGGACGGAGAATGATTCAGAACGTTCACGATCCTAAATCACTCTTGTAACGCCGATACCTGCAAAACTAGCATTAGTTAAAACAGATAAAAGAGTTAAGAAACGCGTATCTTTCACCGTCAAGCACACGTCTCTGAAAGTAACCGATTGTTTTGATGACCTCCTGCAAGCTAGAGAATGCCATCCCGCTTGAAAACCGCTATGCCTGTAACTGCTTCCAATTTAGAACATTGCTTCGCCTGAAACGATCCTCCTCTGCTATGATAATATTCCACGTCCAAGGGAATACTATCGAAGATTACTTCTCTTGAAACAATCCTCAGTTGTTTGTGACGACTCTCCACAATCTAGGGAATGCCACCTTGCTGTTTCGATGTTCACTCGTCTCTAAACAAAGAGCTTCTTTTTTATATGTTCAATTTTCCGCTGTGATAGTCTTCGAAAAGATCACTGCTTTTTAATCCTTAATGCTGATATGCCAGTACGTCGGCGCTTTGCTGCTTGTGAACCAGTATGTCGGTGCTTTTGCTGTGATGACAATCCTCTTTTCTTTGGGAATAGTTGCCAACACAACTCTTGTATGATGTATGACAATCCGATTTAGGGAAAATTGTCAATGCCACGTAACAATCCATCCTTGGAAATGTTGACACGATGAAGCGACAATCCGTATCTCGGAAAATTTGCCAAAATCCAATTTTTGGAAAAGTTGCCAATGCTTCGTAACAATCTTTCATAAGAACTTTGCTACAATCGACAATCCACATCCATCTTGGAAATTTGCCAACGCTTATGCGACAATCCTTTTAGGAAAATATTGCCACAATTGACAATCCGCGTCTTGGAACATTTGCAAAAAGAGTCGACCAACAATCCACTTTGGGAAAATTTGCCACTTGCTGAAATAAATGACAATCCAAGTTGAGGCTTTGTCGATATTTATGATGAATAGAAACCTACAACAATCCTTTGGGAAATTTTGCCATAGGGAAATGGGTGTATGACAATCCAATCTCGGAAAACTTGCCAGCGATCTATGAATGTATGACAATCCGAACTTGGAAAAACTTGGCAAACAAAGAAGGAGCACGACAATCCACGCTTGGAAACTTTGCCAGAGATGACAATCCAATCTTGGAAAAATTATCATTGAAGAAGATGCACGACAATCCATTTTTGGAAATATTGTCAGTTGGGGATGACAATCCAATTTTTGGAAAACTTTGTCGTTTAATAAGAATGCGCGACAATCCATATTTGGAAATATTGTCGTTTAAGTGCTTGCTTTTGAACCGATTGTAATGAGCCAGTGTTTTAGGCGCTTAAGCTAAGTGAGACGATTTTTTGTGAGGTCAATCACTTACTACGATTGTAATCGAGCCGACTACTAATCATGTCAAATTGCTTATAGGGGCTAACTGGCGTACCAAGGAACCCGAAATTGTTGTATGATGTCGAAATCACCTTTTGGAGAGGCTTCGAGCTCTGTCGCTACTGAAATATCTCTGGTGCCAAGAATCGACTCTGTCGCCAAACGCTGTGATAAGGTCTTCCCTGTTCTGCTGCACCTGTATTTATTTTGACTATAGAACTTTGCCAATCTTTTTAATTATCTTAGGGTTGACCTAAGGTCTAGCGTGTTTGACACATTGACTTAACACGACTCAAGGTATAAACTTGACTCAATATGATTGACTGACTCGAGGTTGACTCGACTCGAAGTGAAATGACACATGTGTTAGACTCAAATCAAAGCGATATGACACGACATGACTCAATGTGTACATGACTCGTGTGTGCATTGTAATGTGATCGTGCGACTCGAAAATGCAAAAAAGCAAAAATTTTCCGTCATTTTTGTGGAGGGTACCGACTTTCTCCCGAAAAAGAAAGACGCGAAAAAAGAATCGAAGTTTTCGAATGCACGTTGAATGAGCTTAGTCAAATGTTATTTGATATTATCTCTCAAGGTGCAAGGATTAATCCATCCTAGGCTATCTCAATGGTTGACTCAATGATGAAAGCATTTGGGTAACTTAGGCACGGAGGCTAAGCACTTCATACTTCGTGATGCAATGATGAGTGATGAGCGATGTGACAAGGCATGCTTCATCGTTATGTTAAGATTTCATGACAAAGGGTTCCTAAGGGAAGTATATTTGGTCATGTATCTATGCAGTGTGTGAAAGTGACACTAAAGTTAGGCCGCAAGAGCTAAGTGTGTGGAAAGATATTAGTTTTAGAAGAATCAAATGGTGGTGACTCTTAGGCTAGATAAGCTAATGATGTATGGATCAAGCCCCTAAGTCTAGCTCTAAGTGAATAGGGATGAGCGTTGGATATCCCTTGATATGATCATGGTGTAAGTGTGTGAATGTGAATATGAAATATGCATTTTTATTACGGCCGCACCTTGATG